AATTACAGTTAGGTTTTCTACTGTGACCTTGTTATCTTACAACTGATGCATTTGCAAAAATCGTTGAAATCGCGAAATTGTACAACTTAATGGCATGTGGCTAATAGAAGTAGTGAAACAAGTGGATATTATATCAGATATGTTGCATCTGATGTGGGGCAATATCATATTCAATCCCGTGAATGAGACTAGAAGAATAAAGCATTGAGAGGAACAAATGTAATAAAAATCGGGATGTTGCACGAGTTTGGTCAATACCTGTATATGAATGGAGATACATACAGGGTGGCAAACAAATTCAACAGTGGTTGAGTCTCAAAGGAGAAAAGACAAGTGTCTTCCGTGCTTTAATCTTGACTTTCACAAACAAATCATTCTACGAATGACATTTAACAAACATGTAGGGAATGAGCAACCATACTCCTGAAGTAAAGAAACATTTAGTGGACTATATGTAGCTTCTATTTCCATACTTGAAATGCTATTTATCGTTGATATTGGGATTGTTACCATTACTAAAGGCTCACAATCCTTAAACATCAAACGGGGAAGGTAATTTACGGGAAAACCAAATGAATCGACAGAAGACTTTACTCACTATACGAAATAGTAACGCTATTCATCATTTGTAGACCTGGAACATCACGTGATTAGTTTAAAACTATACATATTCGCGGGTGAAGTTTGGTTAAAGTAATTAACAATATAAATTGGTTATATTATGAAAATGCTGTATGTGGTGTGCGGTAACACCATATCTATTCCTGCGTATGCGGCTCAAATATTAAGGCATTTAGGTGAAGAGCATTTTGGAAAGTCATGTTGTCGCACGAGTTACATCAATACCAATATATGTATTTCATAATAAGTAACATGTAAATGACTGGATAAAATTTCCCTGGAAGCACAAGACTGGTTTTGAGGCTCATACCGGTAGTCAGGCATGCGTTTCCGGTAATTTGTTCCCAGTTCATTCACATACTTGAACCCCAGGGAGTGTATTTTCGTCACAAAAACCTTGTTTGCAACACCGGGTGACTTTTGGATAGATAGCTCTTTCAGAGCCAGTCCACTGAAGAATCGATGCTATGATTCGATGTTTGTGTAAATGGGTTGGATGCTACTAACCGCAATAAATGTATATATATGTAAGCAACCTTAGAATAAATTAACCCACCGGAAAGCTTTATTTCATGTTCTTCGCTCAAAAGCCAGTAATTTATTCAAATACTTTTATACTTCGATGTTTTTACCTTTAGAATTTCCGAAAACTGTACGATTTCTAATGAGATACTTTCACTCACCTTGTACAGATCTCCGCGTGCCCAAACCTACCAAAGCGGAACTTGATGGAAAAACACGAATATTGGAACTTGAGTTCACCCCGATTTCCGGGGCGACTTCGTACACAGTGATTCTGGTTTCCGATCATGAAGTTTGGCAAGTGTTTCACATCACACCAGACACACGTTTCATTGCCGAAATTACGTGTTTCACTTGTACTGTGGCCGTCCGTGCTGTGAACGCGCATGGCCACAGTGCATTCTCCGATTTGTTCCCGATCTCCTGTAAGCACACATTGGATATTGTTATTCCATAACAATTGCGGTCTGTTCCTGGGTTGTAGTTTTGTTTTATTCACATGCTAGTTTGATCTTGCTTGGTGTGGGGGTGGGTGAGTGGGCGTTTTGGGGGAAGTAAAACCCTTAGCCATTAGAAAAATCCAATTCAAAATGGGTCGGTGCATCATGTTAACACAACTGGAGATTATTTGTCATTTGGATATATATTGTATATTATATTGCACACTCGACTGAGGTCAGACTGCGTGCCAACCTTAACATGGTACAACAATCTGCATAAAAAAGAACGTTCCGTGATTCGCTTGAGGGCTGAGTACTGCCAGGTTGTCCAGACCAAGGCAGGTGAATGTTCTTGAGGAATCCCAAACCGAAGTCTTTGGCTAGCCATACATTGATCCGCAAGGCAGTGTGGCGGTGTGGAAACCGTAGTCTATTTGGAGCCGGTATCCAGTTCATCGGATCATACACCCTTTGGACGGGGTCAAACGTCCAAGGTACCCAATACACCTTGATGCCAAACCGAGCCAGTGATTATTGCCACAACGAGAAAGTTGTATGTGGTTTGTACGACTATTCTTGGTTGCTTTGGAATCAGGGTTTTTGGCCAAGTCACCCGGGTGAACAACCAGTGATCCACCAACCGATTTATAGCCCCGGATGTCGGATTTTCGTCCTCTCACTGGTGGGAAATACATCCACCACTATAAGTTTGATTGGATAGCTCCAATTTCTAATCTTAGTTTACTTCTGCTGAATATCCACCTTTCGGGGTGCATAAAGCAAATACTTGACTTGACTTGACTTCAATTTCATCGATCGTTTCAACCTTTGAAATATGCTAAGGAAGTACCCTGGGTCACATCGCGTCAGAATCGGCTTACCTTTACCTCTGACCATATACTGAATGCATATAGCTTGAACCTCGAATAATAATTAATTCCTTGTTAAATCCATTCATGCGATCGATTTTTGGAACACTTGTAACTCTGGAGCAAGTTTTTACATTCAAATTGAAGTGCTTTTCATACTCATAACCAGTTGATAAGCCGACGGAAACTTGATCTCGTTAGCTTTCAACACGATGGGGTAAACCAACGTCCAGTGAAGTAACGATGCGTAGTATTAGAAGATTGCATTGATCGAGGTTCGTTAATCGTAAAGTACTAAGAGTCATAAAACGGCAGAAACATCTAAGAGCGCGGTCAGCAGAGGTAAAGTCTAGTAGGCTGACAAATGAACCCAACAGGTGACGTAGGAAGTTAGTTCAAATTGGGAACGCTTGTAGTCGGTGAAATGATAAAACATTCAGTATATTTCAGTTATGGAATAAACGATAGAAATATTAAAGTAGTGCAGATTCAAAGCGTAATGACTACCAGCAATTTTGATTTGATACTTAAAAGAAGGATTAGGTGAAGGGTGTAGATACAAGTAGAAAACAATCAATGAAAAACGCATCAACCAGTGGGTTATCATCACGTGTTTTGGATGTTGAGCATCCAACATACTGACATGCTGTATCTACCAATTCGAGTGATTCTATCAACAAAGAAAATGTTCTGAAAGATTTCATGCTCCTGNCTGTCGACGTACACATTGAAACTCACATTGTGGTGCTAAATTTTAAACAAATGCAGTTGTTTAGTACATGATATCCAACAAAATGGTCATTTGGAATGCATTAAACTCAAAGCTCAGGATATGGGAACCCAACGGTACGCTTGAGTTGCCTAATGCAGACGGAAAAACTATGGGATGACAACAAACAGTAATCCACAGTGAATGAATCCGGCAGTTTGATAAGACAAGTAATATGCTCAAAATAGAATGTAGAATGAATGTTTCGAGCCACGGGGGCATTTCATAAGGTTTACCAAATGTACACAAATCTCTTGGGAAGTGATTGATGCACTGGGCATGGGAAATGATAGCGGCTTCCACACTCCACCCCATCACCCACCCCAAAACATGACATTATCAATTCTCGTCATACTTTATCACTCTACATTTCATGTTGGTAATGGAGGATTTGGTTAAGTCTCAAATGACAATTCGTCGTGTATATAGCAAATGAAGCGTGAACTGAAAAGTTCGGAAGCACTGGACAGCTTGCGTTCTGCCCATGAAGTCCCGGGTTCGATCCCCAGTCGGGTCGATGGATTCGCACTGCTGATGAGACCCAACCAGGTGAAAACAGCTGTCCATTGCTTCCGAGCTTTTCAGTTCACGCTTCATTTGCTATATACACGACGAATTGTCATTTGACACTCTATATTTCTCGACCACACACAATTCGAGACGAGTTTCCTGAAATAAAACCATATCCATCAATTCATAACACATTCCGGATCTCGACAATTATTTGTGTGTATCTTGGGATCCGATCGCTGATGTCACAATCGTTTTTAATAAATATAGTCCATCGGTGTTGCAGATTGGATGTGTGGCTAAAGTGTCGAAACGGGAGCTCTTTTCCTGGTCGTTCGATAAACTGGAAATCAAAATCCATATTCATATGTAGAATACGACAGCTGTATTCATCACGAACCTAGGTGACATTCAACATTTCTCAGCGAATCGGAAAACGGGGGAACACAAACAGAATGTTGCGTAGCGCACTACTACACGCTAATATTCCTCCATTTCACAACCAAACCGTGGGTAATTAAATTGGCTCATAATATGATTTCGACCGGACACGATGGATGGTCCTGTGTTTAATTCTAATTCGTGTTTTGTGTGCATTTCTTGCCGACCCCCGTGCAGTGAAAGATACTGAATGGTTTGGAATCAAATACGCCATTTATGACGGAAGCAAATTGTTTGTTCAGTCCGACCGAGTAAAGAGATCACTGATTGTGGCCCTAAATGGAATAGAGAAAACCTATACATTGCGTGGATATGAGTTTCTCTTGGAGACGATGGAAACACCCATCTACGTCAAGTCGCCCGTTGGATCGAGGTTTCCGGTCGTACGAATGAGTGAGTGGCATTCAGATCCCAGCCTAGTCTTGTGCTCGCCATCGTTTTCCCCCAGTCCATAGCCCATTTCTCTCCGTTTAAGGTAAAAAGGTCTTCACTATCAGATTGAATCAATAATGATGTTTTTTAAAACTGCCTTGCTTGTAATTCAATCTATTATTGAATAAAAGCAAGATAAAATAAACAATTCAGCGGAATCACCAAGCCAAATGAAATACAAGACACCATTTTCTATTTATTTGCTTTTAGCAAAATAATATTTTTTGCACCACAAAAATCGTTCTCTGCATGGCCATACTTATTTTTATTCTGGTGACAAGAATAAAAACCGATACCTGTATACTGAACCCATTGCAGCAGGATTCGGCGAAGCGTTAGGTGCATAGAAAGACAACTTGCCAAGACAAGTACATTCAGTTCGGAAGCACCGACCTGCTCAAGGTAAAATGGAACAGGGTGCAATGCCTAATAGACAGGGCAAGAAAAATCGTCAGTGAAAACCTCCTGGAGGAAGAGGAAGAGCTGAGTTTTGTAAATTCGATCTTTACACATAAGGAGTATCCGGAACTTCTAGACATCACCAACATGGATGCGTAGGTGCACGGAGAACACTTTACAAAACACTAAAGTTCAGAAAACGTCCGTGTACAATACGTATTCGTTCAACCGGACCATATCAGCTGAGACGGTACAAAGACGAGCATCCGGCGAAATCGATTAGACTCTTTATGGATCAAAGCTTCGTGTGCTTTTAATGCTTGAGCGAATTGTGTGTTTGAGCTTGAAGGACACTGTTCCGGACCGTGTACCCTCGATGTTTTTAGTAATATGTGACTTGACTTGATTTTTCCCTGAATAAATATATTCGTAATTAGTGATATATATATTTTGATATACTGGGATGAATATGAATCACTGCAAACAGCTTCTTCGCCACTCTCTTGTTTATTTATTATATATATTGTTTATACAATGAAACTAAGAAAACGTTCATTAGGAAAGATATAAACGGTAAAATGAATTCGGGGAATGAATGCAAAATCTGAGAAGATTGAGATCTGGCATAGTAGGTGTAAACGTCAATTATTGTAATACTGTCTTTTATTATAAGTCATTGCTTTTGTTTCAGCTACTGTTTCACCCGTTATCAAGACGTGTGCCAAATACGGACCATTTATCTACCCAGAGATGGAGACCGAAGCCGACGATTTGAGTCCCCTCTACGAAGCTTTTCTTTTTGAAAATAATCACGCACTGGCCAGCAGGAGATGGTACGGTTATCATGGTCGAATCGAAAATTCCGCTTGTGTCATGTGTACACTGTATGTACGCAAATGGCATCTAGGACAACCGTCTACTTTCAGTCAGGGATGTCGTGTTCGAGCGGAATCAAGTAAGTGTAAGGCAACACTGTGGGAACAGAGTACTCACGTACATATAGATCGCTTTGCAAATCTGAATCAAAACACTATATGTGCCAACCCTAACATTCAATCAGTTTGACTAGTGATAGCCGAGTTTTGAGGACAACGAAGACAAGTTGGACTAAGGGAAACACTAAAACAGCAATACTCACTGTGGTTGCTAGCAGACTGAACGAGCACTTTCTTTTACCCCCAACGCAACACAAGTTGTCGTACACGAAAGACCAGTTCATGTTCCAATGTGTCATACGTGGATTAGAATTTTTCTAGTGCGCACAGTGCAAACTATCAGCTAAGAGTGATGGGCCATCGAGTTACCGTATCCAATCTCATGGATGGTAAATCTGACTGTATTTTTTTCCGGTCAACTGTGATTCTGGCAAACTTATTGGATTTTCTCAGTGCAACAAGAATAAGCCAAAAAAGAATCAGAGGCGTAGATACAATGACTCATTACCTCTTTTTTCAGACGATTTGTCTCACCCGTATTTCAAAGTGGACCCGCATCCCACGGGCTTCGTACTTGAGTGGCAATCGAAACAACCAATCACCATAATCTACTGGAACAATTTATCCGCAAAACAAAAAGTCACTATTACAAGCTCAGAGCAAGCTGGAAACAAAGTGTACCTGACTGATCTGGATTCGTGCACACCATACACGTTTGAAGGATTCTTCTCTGATGGATTACTTCAAAAGCCATGGCAACGAATCATTGTGGTCACGGAACCTGAGAGTAAGTCCTGTATTATGCAAACTGATCTAATATTCTAACGTATCCCTCGCTCACACATGGGCCCAAAATGTAACTGCCCTGGAAAGTGAAAACCACGGGTCGGGAAAGCGTTTTGTGATTTCAAATGCCCGATCTTACAAACACAATATGTGTGGTGAAAACAAATTGTGAATAATGACAGGCCAGAAACAATGAATATCTCTTTCGTTCCATTCGGGACTTTTCGATATCATGAATAGTTAGGCTATTTTTCCCGGAAATCCAATCATGAATCACGAGGTTGGGTAGCAAAGACCCTAACCTTGAGGTAGAAAGTTCAATAGTAAACACCGCTAACGACTGTCGGAATTTATTTCACATATCATTCTCTGATTAGATCGTTCAGTTAGAACAGGTATAACACACTCCGTTTCGGGATGTGAGTTTATCTCCCCAGGGCCACATTCACTCCCGACATGCACTCAGTGATTCTACGATAGAAAAATTTATTTGATTTCCGACACATAGTGTTGGAACGATGTTCCTTCTTTGATCCGTCTAACCCTTTGAACCGTAAACAAACAAACACAACAGAATACAATTTCGGCCTAACCAAAACACATCACATTATCCTCAAGTTTTGTATTAGTGCTCAACGATAGGTGCAGCATAACTCCCTCCTAATAGCCTTTCTTTGATCCCGAAGGATGAAAGGGTTGACGGAATATCTGATAAATTGAGCGCTTAACTTGTAAATCAAAACCAACTTCATGTGTTGATCAAACCGGGTATAGATGATGAATTCGGAAAACGTGTTTCTGTGCTCAGGAATTGCACACATCAATCATGTTCCTTAAGAAATAAAATGTTTCTTACGTCGAGGTTGCAAAAAGTTCAGTAACTCTGGTGGGACTCGAACCCACGCATGGGCGCCTCCTGCGCTTTTGTGTCGCGCACGGTCTACCAGCTGAGCTACGAGGCCACACCGATAGCATTGATCTTTTCACATTGGAATTACCCAACCAGCATACAGAGGCATATGGCATCCACCAGTTATCATGTAAGCTGACTACCCCGATAGGTTTTCCTTAGAATTCACCGAAGTCCAAAAAATGAACCTCTAAGACATAGTTGGATGGATGATTTCAATGTTAGAAAGATCAGTTCTATGGGTGTGGCCTTGTAGCTCATCTGGTGAACGTGCGCTGTACAAAAGTGTAGGCGATATCCATGCGTGGGTTCGAATCCCACCGATGCTACTGGACACTTTACAATCTCGACGTGAAGTCAATCTGCCAAACAAAAATCTGAACAAATCAAAAGTTCTTCAATACGGTCGAATCGTTTTACGACAACACGGAAAAAAACAATGTTTTAGGAAAACCGGTTCTTGTCAGGGGAGATAAAATGAGTTAAGTTTATGTCCGGTGAGCAATTTTACACTTGAGGTACAACAAACTGCATGCCACGGATTCCCAGATTCATCGGTGGAAATTCAGTTTCTGAGCAATCAAGCCAATTAGTGAATCAGGACAAGTATTTTCATTTGTTAGTGAGCAATCCTGGTGCTAATTCTTTTGTTAAATTACATCTAGGTCTCTTGTAACCAGAAAGATTTCGTCAAGTAAATTTGTCTATGAATTGAAAATAATACTGTCAGTGTAATCTTGTCCCAGGTAAGTAAGCGAAGAATGCAATAAACTACAACTACGAGTATATGGCTCAATGAAACTATAATAATAATTTAATTAAGTCATAAGTAATAAAATTGTATGTTTTTTAGCAACTGCGTTTTGTACCGGTGTTTAGATTTGAAATAGCCCTGAACAAAAGTTGTTTTTAAAAAGCCGAAACATTCAGATCCCGTACTGAATTTGGGCAGAGAAGTCAGAAGAAGTGCGTCTCCTGAATTGCCTGTTTAACGGTTGTTTTCTTGTTGCCCATCGTTTCATAAAATACTGCCAAATGACAATATTCTTTCAGAACCAGACGTTAAACAGTTCACAGCTGTTTCTCCGACGAAAACAATCATTGAGGCTCAAGTGTTGACCAAGGGTTATTGTCCCCTAACTTACAACTTTCGTGGCGGTGAAATCGTTCGCGGTGAGATGCGTCAATTCATTGGAACCCCATGGGAGATTGTGGTTAGCCAAGATACTGGCGCAGTCATTAAACGAGTCGAACACGGCTATTCAGTCAGCGTCTACTACGAAATCCACAACGATTCGGGTTGTGCTGATCGACATATCATAATAACACCGACAGTAAATGGTCGAAACATAAGAACTGCTGAGTCTCAGCGGCGGGAAATTGCATTTGGTAAGTACACTAAAAGTGATTCTTGGATAAATACCGTGGATTCTTTCAGTTCGGTAATCATTTAAAACATAGGCTTAATACCATAGGATCCACAATTTTGAAAGACAGTTGTTTATTACAACCACAGAATATTTCTCATTAGCTAGTAATGTAATACATTTGCGGTTTTCCTTAGATGCGAATTCCTAGGTTCTATATCGAGAACATTGGCTCTTGATGGGACTTAGTAAAATCTTATTAGCCTAGAAGTGTTTAGTGGTAGCAAATATCACAGGAAGTTTTATTAACTATTCATTACACCCGGTGACTAGTCTGGTTGCGAGATACATCGCTTCCTTCTCAAGGAGGGCTTTCGTCAAGCGGTCAACTACCTAAATTCCCTTAAATAACTAGAAAGCAATTTGTGAATATGGTGACCCATCTCCAAATGTTCCCCAAAAGCTATTGATGTCTAAACAACAGCGACAGCATTTCAAGTCATTTCTGATCCGCACTTTACTGAGCCGCTGAACTTTAATCAATTACCTTTATTCGTGGAATGGATGTGGGGAAACATAGGCATATTTGGCAATCCATTGGTGTCTCTCACACACTGTATGTCACTCATCTGCAGTTACGGTGATACACAATTAGAGGCAGAACGCTTTCCAAAGTGATTGGGAAGTCGATGACGCAACAACCCACATTTGATTGTCAGGCTGTCACAAGGAGTTTGGGTCATCATGTGCAAAACACATCATGACAACCAAACATAAAATTGTTCCCGCTTCCTCTTTCAANTATTCATGGAATGAATTTGAAGGAACATGGGCATATTCGGCAATCCATTGGTGTCTCTCACACACTGTATGTCACTCATCTGCAGTTACGGTGATACACAATTAGAGGCAGAACGCTTTCCAAAGTGATTAGGAAGTCAATGACGCAACAACCCACATTTGATTGTCAGGCTGTCACAAAGAGTTTGGATCATCATGTGCTAAACACATCATGACAACCAAACATAAAATTGTTCCCGCTTCCTCTTTCAACCCCTTAATAGGTGACGCAGGTAATGAGGCATCATTATTTAGCCAGTTTCTTTTGCTCCCAAACGTTATTGACGCCATTGGTTCACTTGCCGTAAGGTGGACTTTGAGCTTTGTATTTTAATAGTCCCTGTCTATCCGTATAGTCCACTCGCTCGGATTTAGCAATTCACAGTCACCAGGGGATCACGAGATCATAGCTTACAGCAATATGTCGACCACTAACTCACCACAGATGCCGTTTGTCATGCTGAAGTGCGGGAGGACCAGAGATCCGATTTGTGAATCGATTTACCTGTATGCTGTACATGAGAGAGAGAGAGAGCAGAGATGCAATACGTTTGTCGCTGTGAAAATGAGGCTTTTCTCTCTCTCTTTATATATATATATATTTGTAAAAATAAAGAGTTATTATGATGAAATTTCGTTAATCAGTTTTCTATTTGGTGCTTCCCTATAATATTGGAAATTTTGCTGATCGTGCATGCGAGACAGGAGATAATCCAAAATTCAATAGTGAGGAGGATGCAATCCCGAATGCGTCTTTGTTCTGCATCGGCAATTCAGCAGATTAGGTGAATTGTTCACATCTCGCGATCTAAGTTGTAGTTCGGTCTCGATGTAACTTCTCGCTGTGAAAGATGGTCTCGGTTCGTTATTGTTATGCATCTTTACCGAGAGGGTGGCGGAGATACTAGGACTTATAAATCCATTTCGCAGCGTTCTGTGCAGAGCAGTAAACCATCTCCAAGGTGGCACTTATTAGTTGTAAAATCGAAGAGATTAAATATCCGCCAAGTAAGGTAACACGTTCATATACTCTTGTAGTATCCTGAACTCCTCAGAAATGTGAATCATGCTTCCAATACTAATGTTGCCAGTGTTTGTGTTTGCGAGGTACGAACAGCGCAGCAGTCATGGCAGATTCCTGGTATAGCCCATGAGTAGCGGGTAATCGGCTCTCTGGATAAGAGCATCAGAGCAAGTAGAGCCCAAAGGTTTCGGTCAATCAGAAGAACCGGTAGTCAACAAAAAAGAAGCGTCGGCACAATTGAGACATCCTGATGTCATTAAGAGAATGAAAAAGTGAGTTAAAAGAGTCGAAAGTTTCTTAGTAACTACTCGAAGACCAAAAGATAAACTTCACTGGGCGATCTAAATGGTCAACCGCCAAATGAAGACGCCTTGTCCTTACTCACTCGCTGGTTTTATATATATATATATATATATATATATATATATATATATCTGTATATAGCATTTGAGCATATGAGATTTATTCCCGTGTGATAAATTTTGCCCGTAATGTTACTTCTGTTTAGATGAAGTAATGGTTAGAAAACCGACATCTAAACACTTTGCTTGCTATCATGGTTTACAAAATTCGAATGGATAAAAATTGACTTTTCAGTTAAATTTTCTGGAAGCATTGAGAAATGTTTGATTCATTTGTTCTCCTAACATGATTAACTAATTAATTTTGGACTTACCCTGTTTCTCTGCACATCCCCACTGACAATCTGCTGCATCATTCCAATGGGGAAACAGCCGATTTGCATGCCAGATCATTGAATGGAGTCATTGAAGTGCAGTGCTCAATACCGGACAAGCTAATCTTTAACTATCGTCTTATAATTCAGACGAATCTGAGAGGCAGGAAATATATTGTCCATTCTTTTCCAGTGATGCAACTGAAAAGCCAGTGGACATTATCTGTGCCATCAAACAAGGCATACGAAGTCATTCTATTACGAGGACCGTTTGAAGTGCGACGACAAACTGTGAGATTCTCTTCAAACAGTACGTCAATATCAGTTGTTTCAGAACGGATGATTACTTCACACATTTGAAACACACTAAACTCCTGATGCATAACTATCTGAGCGGCCGATTACGAAAGCTGTAATTGATTGACTGAATATCAAATGAACCACGTGACGGATGTTAAACTACCTATTGTATGTACTTCAGCCAACATCTCAATCTAGGGAACTAAGAATTATTCTCTGTTGACCAAGATCATCTCTAAACAGCTAGACGAACTTCATTCATCGTTCACCATCACATCCAATTTGATCAATATGAGAAAATAAAAATGTAAAACAGTTAACAGTTAGGTCTATTCAAGAAAGTGGAAAAGCTTGTATATACACATCTATGTATGTATGAAGATAGCAATATTATATAAACGATTTCACTCCTCCTCCATTCAACCAGTTGCAAACAATACTGACCACGGGAACCGTTTTCTTTCACTGAAACGCCCTACCGAACTACGATTATTTTACGCATAATCTAAGGTCAATTGAAGACCACAGTTGACAAAGAGGCGGCTCTACTTACACATCTGTAATACTGCTATTTTGTCATTCACTCATAACTGGGGTGCGACAACAACTAAGTGCTAGTTGGCATACAGTCTGGTAACGGTGTTCGAAGCAAAATTATGATGGAAAAGAACAATGCAGTATGCTGTATCAACAACTATGTTCCAGTTGGTATATCCTTTGTATTGTAGCAATTGAAAAGCTCGAAGCGTGTTATTCCATTCGGTTAACGAATCAATAACAAGGTTTTCTCCAACTAGAACACCACTTTATGTTTTGCGGATAAAGATAAAAAATGAAGTTGATGCACATTAGTTTTTATTTTGAGTTAACCGCCAAATTTGAATTCAAGAATTTATCAATCCTGGGTGTATATGTATATAAACTCATACAACCAATGGTGATGATACACAGAGGCTGGATAATTTTCTCATCATTTAATTTTAATTAATAAAACATGGTCATCTAATTTGTAGATTAGAGGGGGGGGGGTGACAGGGGATTTACGATTTATTTAATTGTCACAAAAATCGGCTAAATGGACGATACCTATGCATTCTGTTTCAGATAATATTTTAGTTTGCAAAAATAACATATGCACTTACGAAACGGATGCAGCAGAGGAAAGTGGTCACGATGCACAACACTCGGAGACGATTCATAACCAAGTGAGTTGGACGCGCAATATCTTGGCAATTCCACCCAGGCACTATCTATCATAAACAATCAAGATTACTGTGTTAACCCACTTTGACCAGCTATGGGAAGACGTAGACTGTTAGCTGTTTACTGTGCTTGGACAGATAAATGTGCTACTTATCCAAAATCTTGGTGAATTTTCTCCAGCGGGAGCTTGACTTGATAAAGAACGACTATGGAACAATGGGCTAGGTTTGGTTGAGCTGAAATTGAACAGATTTAATAGATTACCTAGATATCGTAAATTTAACTTAACAGAAGTTTTATCAACAAAGAGCCATCTCCTTCTGTCCGAATAATTGCCTGTTTTTCGTATTGTATTTTGTATTGTGTAAAACTTTTGCACTGGAGCTCACATTTCGTCCGAAACTCTCCACAGTGCTAAGCTTTATATCGCAATCTATCTGGACAACGGGACTTTCCTAAAGCAGCAAATATTGTATATATATATATATACATATATATATATATATACAGGCAAAAATACACTTCCTGGGTACAATTATATGAATGAACTGACAAAAGATTAGCGGAAACGCATGTCTGAGGAGCGGCAAGAACCGCGAAACCGTTCGTGTGCTTCCAGGGAAACTGTGTACAGTCATTCACATACTACTTATTATTAAAGATATATATGACAATAAATGTTTTCACTGATAATTCACCCCACTCGAGCAATCTATCTCGTCATCTTTTTAAACCATTTGTAATTTATCTTCTTAAATTATTGTTTCACACATCGTCTCAAATGAACGTTTTATGCATTGACAGCCGAAGCCCCAAAACGACAGGTGTGTCCAAGAAATTGCTTCCGACGTTCGTCAGTGACGGTTGAAGAAGTATACCTGACTTTCATAAATTCTCGCGCTTTTCAAACTTCTCAACACTTTCGCAGTGTGAACTCTTGTTCTCCATAATTTTCAACCAACGTCCTTCTAATGTACAGAGAATAAAATTTGTAGCTTGCAGTACCCATGTTAGGCTTATACTTTGCTTCTATGAATGATTATTGTATCTTTCAATATGAAAAAGTTTTTTGCGAAACAAGACACTATATTCCTTTTCTATGATGAATTCGTCGTGTAAATGAGACGTTAGCTGAAAAGCTGGGAAGCACTGAAAAGCTATTTTGACCTGTTTGGGTCTCATTAGCACTGTGAATCCATCGACTCAACTGGGGATCGTACCCGAGGCCTCACAGAACGCAAGCATACTAACCACTCAGCCACCGGGAAGCTGATCAGACCGTTTCTCATTCTGAATTGCCACGATATGGCACAACCCGTCTATGCAAGCTTGTTGCGCGTATTGGTCCCCGCTCATCTCAGCACTAGCCTCAAGGGATATGAGTTGTTTGGAAACTTTGACAACCTGATTATTTACTGTATGAAAGTAATGGAGGATTCGATTTGTATTTATGATGAATTCCGCGCAATCAGGTTGTTTATTAGTCAACGATGTATTTTTCTAGCATACGTGCAGCTACTTGTGAGTAGTATGGAGAAAGGATAATGTCACAGATTTTATGTTTCGATTTCCGTCTTTATCCTCTGTCAATGAGCTGGTGATTTACTGTTTTCATAGCACAGCAATGAATTTTACAGACCTTAACTCACAACGCAGCTGACTATAGTTCAATCGGTTGTGACTCGGCAACCACGAAGGCAGACAAAAAGCTGTTGAGAACTTAATGTTCCGCTATTTACTCCTTCTTGGCTATCGTTCTCCTCGGAAAGGGACAATTTGATCAGAGATGGGCAAACATGTGAATTAAACTAGTTATTGATAAATTACTGTATTTGGCATCAACGGAAATTACAGTTATACCTGGATTCAGGAGGATGCTGAAAAGCTAATGGCTTTGTAGGTAAAAACATTGAAAATGTGATTATGTAAAATCACGATCAGTCTGATTGGAGCGAACAAAATGCTCAGAAATAAGCATGGTGTTCAACAATCGTGAGAAAAATTTGCATTCAGTTCAGGTTTCTGAACAATTCCACTCCCGCCCATGCCACGCGACCAGAATGCATTTTTTTCATTGTGAGGACTATGTTGATACCACACAATATAAATGGCGAAATTCACAATAGGGTCCGGTTGTCGTGAACTGAGTTCTCACACGTCTATGTTCCGATTGGTTTTGAGTTTGGACAGAGTTATCATAACGAAAGTATTACGACGTGCTTGGATGCTTGAGGACTAGTCACTTGTGAGAGATTCAGCCAAAAACGTATGTGTGCTTGTCCACAGAGTAGAACAAACGAGCTATATTGACAGAAGGGTACAGTGCTTCACATAAAGAACCACGCAGCATTGCAGCGAATAATCACGGTTGATAAAAAATTAGATTGTTAGTGTATTTAAAATGGTTTATTTCGGGTTTTGGACCTGAATGTCAAACTGCTGATCACTGTCCGCGGAGTGAGACTGGTCATACAGAATGATCAACAGTTGAAAGGTACTTAATAATTACATATTCTAGCCACATAGAATGCTGTTTAAAACCCCACTCTAGGTGATGCCTACTCTTCCAACAGAAATGCTTCACACATCTCCTCAAATATCGGTTAGAATAAACGCTTTGTTGTAAATTATATAAATCACAGTAAGATTCCTTTTTGGACGTTACANNNTTGAAACCGGGGGGGGGGAAATGAACGCCCTTTGAAGAATTTTGACAAAACCACTAAACCAATGGATTAAAACGAATATTCATCAATCTCCTGGCAGATACCATCATCGAAAAGACCCGTTAGCAAACCAGTTTTATGTTTACAAAACAAACAGCGGTTTTTCGTAATACTCTATTTTGCCACAACATAAAATGCCACACATGGAAAATTTCTATTGCCCTTCACATCTTACCAAACATATAATCTTGGTACTTTTATTTGTATTATTTGTATCATAGGTGACTTGTGGAGGCAATTGTGCCAACATTTTAGCCAAAAATGTGTTCACGGTTACAATGGGATAAAACAAAAAATGAAAGTTCATGTACACCAAGGATGAAACTTAAATATGTTGTAAGTTGTAAGTTTAATTTTTGTTCGTTACGGATCCTCACCGAGCCAGATAGGGAACCGTTGAGTTGCAATAATTGTTTATGGGGAAGGGCAAGCAGCGAAAATCGAATCGGGTTAGCGCGGGGGGACGGCAAGCAGATAAATCGGGATTGAGCGCATGACTTGGGTAATTGAGTATTGAGCGAAATTCAGGCATGAACTGATATGCAAATGACAATTTTGTGGTCGGACTGTTTGAAAGAATAAGAGAAACACGGCTGATAATTACTAAACCGTGACGAAGGGTAAGGAAATACTTTATAATTAGCCCAGAAAAAATAACGGGCAAACGATAAAGCATGACAGGAAAAAATACATTGATTAACAAAAGAACATACAGTTGCATGCTTCACTGGAAATTGTCTTGGCTCGCGTCTTTGAAAAGATGAGTGACGTAGTCTACCAACACAGGCTAGGACACGAGAGGACCACCGTAGATTGCCATCTATGGGGACTCCTAGGTATTTGGTGGTATGTGTTCTGGTGACTGGTACGGAACTGATGAATGAGGATTCTAACGGATATTTGGATCGGGAAAGAGTAAGAACGCATTGGAAGGATTTAGAAGTATTTAACCGAAGACCTAATTCTTTCGAGAAAGAGTGCACTTGTACTTTACTTACAAAATGTTTGAGAGCGTCTTTTATATCACTGCACGGTTTATAAGTGTATACAATCTTTCACGTGCATCCAGAGTTANCCAGAGTTACATTGTTTTATTGTTTATATGGCCTGGCACGAATGTACGCGATTTAAAATATTACTAGTTGTTTGGCATACATACCGTCAAACACGTCTAAAATTTTCACGAGTTATGTGCTTCCCGTATTAGTTAATAAAAGATATTCAAAGGAAACGCCTACGAATACCAGGTTTGAACCAGCTGCTTCTTTGGCCACGTCTGTGACGTTCCCTATTCCGATCCAAGATGCATCTTCTGGTATTTCTGTCAACCTTTTTCACCATAATCTTGTGGTAAATGTGATATTAATTGTTAATTATTATCCGTAATTAGCTGCTTTCCCCCCTGTTTGCATNTGTTTGCATTAGACAACTTATTAGTGACATTCAATTTTTATTATCCAAACTGTTCAATCTTCGATTTTTGTTCATTCCTTGCACCACATACGCTTACAGTGGACTCTTTCATTCTTTCTTTCACTGTTGCTCTTTCACACATATAATTCTGTTTAACGCGGTGTTTTTAACATCGCGTTCCGATTTGACTGCATTTACTACACTGCTTCTAAATCTGTTGTACTTTCCTTCTCTGCCGTTTTATTCCGGAACCAAAGTGTATCGTCAACCTTTTCCGTACCGCACCGCAACCCTTAAAAGTTGTAATATCACTACTTCGCTACTGTTACGCCTAACTGTCTGCCGGGAAGATCTTGTTCCTACCATTGTTGTCACGGACTGTCACTGCTACCCTGTAGTTTGAGTGCTCACCTGACTGTAAGTTACCTCTTCTGTTTTTCCACTACTGTGATTTTAGAACCCCGATTCGTGCCATTTGTCGATGAACACTGTTGGCTCATCGGATGTCGATCTGTTGCTCTGCCCATATCGTACATAGGGCTATCGAGGTTCATTTACCGAGGAAGTCTCATATACTAAGGCATGAGAGCACAACCATGATTAGAACAGCAAATGCCTGTTTCCGAATCTAACCCCCAGGGAACGTATTGATCACAGATAAACGTTTTGACACGTACCATTTTTCTGAGTCATTCTTTGACATACCATGGGGTTAGCTTTCTATCGATCAGTTCATTGTAGATGGGGTCAAAGAAGGACGCGAAAGCCCACGTTGTAAACACCTAACCATCAATATGCGCTTGCAATTTGGAAGAGATCATAGGTTGCAACGTAGCACAACAACAACGTAGAACGCGACCAGT